ACAGGCCCTAATACACGGCATTAACAGGATAGAAACCATAACCATCGACACACAAACCCCAGAAGGTAAGCTAGATAACTGGGATCTTCTAAAAATCAAACACCTATGCTCTTCAAAAGACTTCACCAAAAGAGTAAAAAGAGAACCTACAGACTGGGAAAAATTTTTTGGACAGTACAAGACAGACAAAGGTCTAATCTCCATAATCTACAAGAGAATCCAACACCTCTACAGCAAAAAGACAAATAATCCTAATAAAAAATGGGCAAAGGAAATCAGACACTTCAACAAAGAAGACATTCAAGTGGCCAATAGACACATGAGGAAATGCTCGCGTTCAAAAGCCAATAGAGAAATGCAAATTAAAAACACAATGAGGTATAATCTAACCCTGACATTACTGGCACAAATCAAAAACACTGGAAATAGCAAATGTTGGAGGGACTACGGGGAGATAGGAACTCTTATGTACTACTAGTGGGAATGCAAAATTATACAATCATTTTGGAAAATGATATGGTGCTTCCTTAGAAAACTAGAAATAGAAATACCATACGATCCAGTAATCCCACTCCTAGGAATATATGCTAGAGAAATAAGAGCTGTCACACAAATAGACATATGCACACCCATGTTCATGGCAGCATTGTTCACATTAGCAAAAAGATGGAAACAACCCAGATGCCCATCAACAGATGGATAAACAAACTATGGTACATACATGCAACGATAAAGAACAATACTGAATCTGTGAAGCATCTCATAACATGGATGAAACTGGAAAACACCATGCTGAGTGAAATAAGTCAATCACAAAAGGACAAACATTGTATGAGTCCCCTATTGTAAAAACTCATGAAAAAGTTTATTTACAAAAAGTAACAATCTGTTGGTTAAGAGGGATGGGAGCGGTGATGGAGAAATACTAAATAGACAATAGATAAGTGGTATCTTTGGTGAAAGGTGAGACAGTACACAATACTGGGGAAGCCACCACAACCTGTACAAGGAAAGGTCATGGAAGCTCCACTAACACATCCAAACTCTCTGAGGGACTGAACTGCTGGGTGGAGGTCTGTGGGGACCATGGTCTCGGGGAACATCTAGCTCAACTGGGATAACACAGTTTATAAAGACAATGTTCTACATTCTATCTTGGTGAGTAGCATCTGGGGTCTTAAAAGCCTGTGAGCAGCCATCTAAGATACTCCACTGGTCTCATCCCTTTGGGAGCAAGGGAGAATGAAGAGAACAGAATACAAGGAAAAGATTACTCCAAAGGACTAATGCACCACAGCTACCAAAGCCTCCACCAGACTGAATCCAGTACAGCTACATGGTGCCTGGCTACCACCACTGACTGCTCTGACTGGGATCACAACAGAGGGTTCTAGACAGAGCTGGAGAAGGATATAGAACAAAATCTTAACACACACAAAAAAGACCAGATTTACTGGCCTGAAAGAGACTGGAGAAACCCCAAGAGTATAGCCCCCAAACACCCTTTTAACTCGGTGGTAAAGTCACTTTCAAGGTTCACCACTCAGCAGGGGACTGGACAGCCCTATAAAACAAAACAGGACTAATGAGGCACAGCAGTCCAGGGAAAAGGACTAGAAGGCAGGAGGGGACAGGAAAGCTGGTGATAGGGAACCCAAGGTTGAGTAAGGACAATGTTGACATGCAGTGGGGCTGTTAACCATTGTCAGAGGTCAACATGTATATTGTTTAATGAGAAACTATTCTGTTCTGTAAACCTTCATCTAAAGTGAGAACAGCAGCACTGGAAGAACGCAATCGATGTCCCTGAATTGTGCGTTTAGAAATTTCTGAAATGGTGTATCTTTGGCTATGTATATTTTCACCCCCCCACCAAAAAAAAAAAACGGTTGAAAAGGGAGAGGGCTGATGTTTCATGAGGTTGTTAACCAATGTCATAAAACAATATGTGTACTGACGGTTTAATGAAAAACTATTTATTCTCTAAACCTTCACCTACAGTACAATGAAAAGAAAAAAAAAAAGCTAGAAATAGGAGTACCGTATGATTCAGGAATCTCACTCCTTGGAATATATCCTAGAGAAATAAGAGCCGTCACACGAATAGATATCTGCACACCCATGTTCACTGCAGCACTATTCACAATAGCAAAAAGATGGAAACAACCTAGGTGCCCATCAGTGGACGAATGGATAAACAAATTATGGTATATTCACACAACGAAATACTATACAACGATAAAGAACAACGTTGAATCCTTGAAATATCTTATAACATGGAAGAATCTAGAAGGCATTATGCTGAGTGAATTCAGTAAGTCGCAAAAAGACAGATACTGTTTAAGATCACTATTATAACAACTCAAGAAAAGGTTTAAACACAGAAGAAAACAATCTTTGATGGTTACAAGGGTAGGGAGTGAGGGAGGCGTATTCACTAACTAGATAGTAGACTACAATTGTTTTAGGTGAAGCAAAGGATACGCACTACAGGGGAAGTCAGCACAACTGGACTTAACCAAAGCTAAGAAGTTTCGTGAATACAACCAAACACTTCGAGTGATAGAGTAGAAGAGGTGGGAGTCTGGGGACCATGGTTTCAGGGGACATCCAGATCAACTGGCATAATAAAGTTTATTAAGAAAATCTTCTGCATCCCACTTTGGTGAGTGGCATGTGGTGTCTTAAAAGCTAGCGAGCGGCCATCTAAGATGCATCAATTGGTCCCAACTCACCTGGAGCAAAGGAGAACGAAGAAAACCAAAGACACAAGGAACATACTAGCTCAAGAGAGAGAAAGGGCCACATAATTCAGAGACTGCATCAGTCTGAGACCAGAAGAACTAGATGGTGCCTGGCTACCACCAATGACCCCCCCGGCCAGGGAACACAACACAGACTCCCCTGGTGGAGCAGGAGAAAAGTGGGGTGCAGAACTCAAGTTCTAGTAAAAAGACCAGATTTAATGGTCTGACTGAGACTGGAGGGACCCTGTAAGACATGGTCCCCAACTCTCTGTTAGCCCAAAACTAAAACCATTCCCGAGGCCAACTTTTCAGACAAAGAGCAGACTATGGGACATAAAATGATACTCCTGAATAGTGTGCTTCTTAGCTCAAACAGATCAAAAAAACCAAACCAAACCCACTGCTGTCAAGTCAATTCTGACTCATAGCGACCCTTCAGGACAGAGTAGAACTGCCCCATCAGGTTTCCAAGGAATGCCTGGTACATTTGAACTGCTGATCTTTTGGTTAGCAGCCGGAGCACTTAACCACTATGCCACCAGGGTTTCCAAGTAGATACATGAGACTATATGGGCAGCTCCTGTCCAGAAGCAAGATGAGAAGGCAGAGAGGGTCAGGAGCAGATTGAATGGACACGGGAAATCTGGGATGGAAAGGAGGAGTGTGTTGTCACAGTATAAGGAGAGCAACGAGGGTCACATAACAATGGGTTTACAAATTTTTGTATGAGAAACTAACCTGAATTGTAAACTTTCACTTAAAACACAATAAGAAAAAGAAATTTGCTTCACTGTATGGCAAAATGAATGGAGAAAATACTTCATGAATAAAAGATGTTCTTTAAAAAAAAAGCTTATGAGTCAAGGTAGTTGGAAGTGGTTGCGAGACAGGAGGAGTTATGTCAAGTACAAATAATCAGCAAAGGCCATGCTGGTCTCAGCAAAGGCCATGCTCGTCAAGTCCATGAGGTCAACCCAGAACAGAAAAGGCTAGAAGGAAAACTCATTCAGCCTAGCCTCAATCCTAGCTTTTTCGGGCTTATGAAAATCATTACAATCTGGCAAGAAGCTTCAGACATCAACTTAGTTGAAACTCTAGAAAAGTTAAACGTTGACACTACTCTTACTAGGGACAGTGCCTGAACCTAAGTTTAAAATCAAAGGCTCTTTGCTATCATAACACTATGAAGACCCATTTACAACTTTCTCAGCTGTTCACTTTTCCAATTGATTAATTAAGCTAAATGATTAGTCAATCAAAGCTGCTGCTATCACAACAGTTGCCTTTATAAGCCTAGAGAAAATGAAACTGGTGAGTGGAAACAGGAAAGGAAGGTTAGATACACATCTATGCAGGAAGCCTAAAAGCTTATTCCGACTCAACCTTTGAACTATTCTGTATTCTGCATCACTACATAATTTGATAATGGATCATTATGAAATGAATAAAGGAGATTTCTCTTTGAAAAACTAAATACCAGATGTTATTTAAAAAAAAAAAAACCCACTATTAAATAGCTGTATCTTGAAAATTAAACACTGTTAAAAACTCAGACAGAAATATAAATATTACATTTCAGCAAAAATATTACATCTTTCAGCATCCCTAAGCAATACATAAGGAATGGATATTATTAACCTACTTAATAAATGAGAAAACAAGAATCTAGTGTTTTAAGGACAGCAAGCTAATAACTTAGAATTCAATAGAATGTGGGTCTCCGAGCACCCTGGGTTTCTCCTTTCTATTTCTTCTATATTCTATCCAATTTTCTCTACACTTCTGTGATATTCTATTACCTAGAATATAGCCCAAGACTTTTGGTTTAGTCTTATGGGAATAATATGTATAAAAGCAATCCACACTTTTATGAAATAGTAGCTTGAACCCAGTTATATAATCTAAGTTTTGACATATATATCAAAAAATTTATATTCTGACACTAATAGAATATAACTTGATACATTTACTATGTATCTTCTCTATATACGTAGATACATAGATATATATAGATATATATATATGTACGTATGTATCTCCAATAACCCAGTATTCCAATAACAAATGTTTCTGAATGTATCTTCCCTATTATTTCCAATTGCCAAATTATATTAAATACAATTTATTTTAAATTACAAACTGAATTTTCCAAATTGAGATGTATTCAATCTGCTGGTTCTAGTTAAATATAACACGTTAAACAGTTAAATATAACTATATGACCAATAAAGGAAAAAAAAAATGTGTCCTTACCTGGTAGTTTCTTTTCTCAGATAATGTATGTCCATCAGTCCTCACCATAGAGTCGTGTCCTTTCCTCACAGTACTGGAGGCAATCAAATAGAACTGTCACTCAAGGATCGTGTCACAGGAAGGACCGCCCACCAGTTCTCCCTCTAGAGTGGAATTATCCAAAAGCCATCAAAATTACTAACATGTAAATATATGAACAGTAGCAAAAATATCCAATACAATACAAAAAAAAAAAAAAGGAGAGAAAAAAAAAACCCAAAAAAATACTTGCTTCATACCCAAAGTGATCTTCTTTTTATAAATTTAGAAAGGGTTACACTGGCAGACATACTTTGAGATAAAAATTAATAAATATGAAAAACCCTTGCCTCTCACTTCTACTCTCTCCAATTAAAACTATTCACCAGATCTCACACAGAAGAAATTACAGTGAATAAAAATGAATGGACCAAAAATTCCTCAAAATTATCATATATATTTTTTCTTAAATATTCTCATATTAATTTCAGAAATATTTAATTAATTCAGATTTAGTCATTCAACTTCAAATCCCTCCCCCCCACATGCTTATGTATATGGATGATAGATGGATATGTTATTTATGTAGCTGCTGATTCAATCCATTTTATGAGGTTTCCTCCTATGCGCAAGATGGGAATACATCAAATATTCTTAAAATGATTAATAGATGCAAACCTAACTCAATAGTCTATTAAAATTTTAATCCAATGAAGAGTAGCAATAAATGTTAAGTCTCTCAATGCCTTTATCAATCTTCCAATTTTATGCACAGACCAACAGAATTCACTTGTTTATATCAGTGAAGAAAAATGATGCTCATTTCTTAACCTGGATAGAGATAAGTAAGCCCAAAATAACTATGCGCTGTGCCCCCAAGTTCAAAAATCACTGAAGTAGAGATGAGAGTCACCAAAGACACTAACTCAAAAACCCAAATTGAAAATAAGAGAGCTTAAAGACTGAAGTGTTGCCTGCAAAGCATTTGTAAATACATGTTCTCAAGACAACTGTCTCTCACTTAAGTTTCAGTAGACAACTAGTACAAATATCTACTGAAATAATAATAGTTGTTAACCACTAAAAGTTATATTCAAATTTAGAGAAATTCTTTAATACCACACAAAATTTACTTTGGGAAGGGATAATAAAAATATCTAATTTAAAAGGTGAGCCAGTACACAATGTTGGGGAAGCAAAAAAAAAAAAAAAAAATCATAATTTGTAAGGAGTGTGAATCAGTATTTAAAAAACAACAGATACATACACACATAAACATACAAGTAAATTACTTCTAAAAAGCAATCTATTAAGGAGGATATCACCTGTGAGTACTAAGCTCCTGTAAAAAATCATCTATGAGACCAAATGGTCACCAATGACCCTAAAGCAAAGATGACAAGCTAAGGGAGCAGGGAAACTACATTACTGGAAACAACAACCCAAACAGAATTAATGAGAATGCAGACACACTGTGAAAAATGTAATCAATGTCACTGAATAATTTGTGTAGAAATTGTTAAATGGGAACATAATTTGCTGTGTAACCTCACACCAAAAACACATAATTTTTTAAAAAAGGACAGAAAAAGCTTTCAAGAAAAATAAAACATTATAAAATATTAAAAAATATTAAAGTTTTAAAAATAATCTCATGTAATGAAAACCTATTTTATGCCTCCTAAGGTATATTTAAGGAGCCCTGATGGCGCGGTGGTAAAGCATTTCGCTGCTAACCAAAAGTTTGGGGGTTCAGACCCACCAGCCGCTCCGTAGGAGAAAGATGGAGCTCTACTTCCGTAAAGGTTACAGTCTTCGAAACCCTGTGGGGCAGTTCTACTCTGTTCTATAGGGTCGCCACAAATTGCAATCAACTCAGTGTCAATGGGTTTGATTAGGTTTTGGTAAGATACGTTTGATCACAGTCAGGTGCTGTGTTTTTACTTAATTTTGACCATCTTACATTGCACATATTTGGCTGGATTACTTTAAGATATCTGGCTCCCTAGCAAAAATGTCATTATTACCAAACTTACATGTACCTTTCGTACCTTTTGAATTAAGTATATCTCTCACAAAAAAAATTAAAAGGGTAAAGTTTTTTTAAGTGTAAGTATATTTACTACAATAAATGTAATCCTTACCGTTATTATTATAAATATAATCCTTACCATATACCAATAAAGTAGGTTACTCACAAGGAAAAATTACCAAGCATACTAGATATCCAAGAATAGTTAAGTGATACATATTCAGCTGCAACTTAAATTTTCATGAAAGAAAACAAAAACGTTTTATTATGCATTCCCTAAACAATATTAACTCTGTCTTAATACTAGTGTTTTATAATATTAACGTTTTAAAAGAGTACTTGCCTTACTAATAATGCACTCTTGGTAACTCTGAATTCAGTGGATAATAGGGAAAATTTTTAGCCATTTCTTACAGAATAAGCAGACTTTCTTAAATAAATTGTTTACATTAAAGCCCATGCACTACCTTTAAATTATATTAGTTTCATCAAAAGATACGTCAGAAATCTAAAAGAAGGCAAGGTAATTTTCAACACCTTAAAGTCACAACCTAATCACTACACAAAAAGATATTTAGGTTTGAATTTTACATGCTATTAACAATAAATCTGTTTAATTTACTTTGGAGAGCTATGGATTTCAGTACGAAGGGAAAACTTCAAATATTTCATGGCCAAGAGTTTCAACTGATAGTCACTTGAACCAGTAATAATACCTAAGAATCACTATCTTTTTAGTAAACAGAGGAAAAAAGGATAGAAAGTCCTTTTCTCCCTAGTAGAAAAGCTAACATTTGCCACCACTATTTTGTATTAAATAAAATGTTCAGTGGTAGATTTTGCTGGTACTCTTCATATTAGGAATGAAAGGATGCACAATAGATGAACAAAGATGTGAGTATATGTGAGCAAAAGAGAGTGAGTAAGTGAAAAAGAAAAAGCATGAGAGAGAACATACATTCTAGCTGCCTTAGTAAGGTTTGTACAGTGGTTTTCCTACAAAGTCCTAAAATATTTGAAAAGTCAGAACAAGCAAATATTTACAACACTAGGCTGGAATTTTCTATATGACAGAGTGTACAGTCCATGATGGAAAAATAGGGACTATATTTACCCTCCTACCTTAAATAACCAGAAAACTAGACAACAATATATAAACAATGGTTTTCAAGCACTGGACAACACTCAGCTCAGCACAGAGATCATCAAGAGAAGGGAACAAATGAAGTGACTCTACCAGTGCCCCAGCTCATGGCCTGCAGGGTTCTGAGGCTGAAGCACAAGAGAGAAAACACAGAGTCTAAGAGTCACAATGAGTTAAAGAGTTATGAGTTGGGGAATATACCAAGGCAGCTGGAATTTGCAGGGCAGATATCAGACAGAAAGAAGATACAGACAGAAAGCTCAAAATATCTGTAGACAAGGTCCCTTTAGGGTTTTGGCATCTGTGAATGAATGTAAAAAAAATTACTGAATCTGAGGAAAGAGCCTCAGAAAAGGACTACTCATAACAATCCCCAGACTCTCTTAAAACATGGGGTATGAGTAGAATTCAGAAGGTAATGCCTCAGTAATGAAAATAATTAAGATTAAGACTAAAGGATGTTCTGAACCTGCACTAACAAAGCTTAAATCCAGGCTTCAAAATGATGGCACTGATTCTAAGTAACTTAATTTTATCTAAAAAACAAACAAAAGCCCAAAATATTTAAAACAATACAACAAACTGCAGCACATAGTAATGTTAAATTTAATGGCTGGCATCCATCAAAAATTACAAGCATTCAAAGTAGCAGGAAACACAACCCAAAACAAGGTGAAATAGAATAAATGGAAATAGATGGAGAAATGATATTGATGATGGAATAAATAGACAAGGATGTTAAAACAGGTACTGGAAATATAGTCCATACATTCAAGACAGAAAACACTGAACATAAAGACAGAAATGCAAACTATAAAAACAACAAAGTTGGCAGCACAAAGGAGTTTCTTTGTAGTGACAGAAAGGTTCTTTATCTTGTTTGTGGGGGTGGTTAAACGAGTTATGCATGTGATAACAGTGGTATTATAAATTAATAATAAAACCGATATTATAAAATTAACCAAGAATAAAAGACTTGCTTCCAAAAGGTAGACTATGGAAAGATTTTAAAAAAAACTTCACAGTGGAAAAAACCTGACGAACACTACTTTGACCAGGTATCAAGGTTAACGTGGTCCATGATAAATCAGGTTGATAGCATCACTCCTTGATACGAGAAAAGGGTACTTCACCTTTGTGCCATTCTTCGCAAAAAAACCCATAACCCAAAATCTAAACATGAGGAAAACAACAGACAAACCCAAATTGAGGGCATTCAATAAAATATCTAACCAGTACTGTCAAGAAACTGTCACAGATCATCATGTCTAAGATGTGATAACTAAATATCATATGGTAGGTACCATGGATAGGAGCCCTGGTGGTGCAGTGGTTAAGCACTCGAATGCTAACCAGAAGGTCGGCAGTTCGAACCCATCAGCTGCTCCACGGGAGAAAGATGTAGCAGTCTGCTTCTATAAAGATTTACAGCCTTGGAAAGTCTATGGGGGCAGTTCTACCTTGTCCTGTAGGGTTGCTATGAGTTGGAATAGACTCGACAGCAACAGGTTTGGTTTTTGTTTTGTTTTTGTTTTTTTTTGACCATGGATGGGAAACTGGAACAGAAAAAGGACATTAGTAAACGAACTAGTGAAATCTGAATAAAGTGTGGAATTTAGATAATAGTAATGTGGCACAAACAGTTAAGCACTGGACTATTTACCAAAAGGTTGGCGGTTCAAACCTACCCAGAGGCACCTCAGAAGTAAGGCCTGGCAATCTGCTTCCGAAAGGTCAAAGCCTTGAAAACACTATGAATTGCAGTTCTACTCTGCAACACATAGGGTCGCCATGAGTCGGAATCAACTTGATGGCAACTAACAACAAAAATGTACTAATGTTGGTGTCTTAGTCTGAAAAATGTACCAAGCTACTGAAA